TAGGCGGGTACCGTTCTTACCGGTGCGATAACCTCAAGATCAAGACGACGACCTCTTATATGTCTACAGCATATGCCCGTATTGAAGGTAGAATGAGATCTTGCTTTGTGATTCAGAGCATGTCGGCCAAGGCGATCACGACCGTGTGAACATCCACTACCTGAACAAAGGAAAACAGCGCCTTCGTTGATACCGGAGACGAAGCAACGTCCAAGGAGAAACAAGCCAGTACCAGAGGGGTGTATGCCACATCCATCACGCCACTTCGCATGAATGGCATGTAAAAGGCAGGTCGGGAACGACACAGCAAGTATTGGACAGATTCGGACTCGAACCGACTCCTCGCACAGGGATCACTGGCACTGTTTGAAGTGTGTATGTATATATCATGCGAGCGTGATGAACCTGCTATACCATATGCCCATGCTGTTTGAGAGAGGTTTTCGTTTGTGGAGCAGTACCGGACGGCGAGGAGCGACGACAGTCCTATGTGGGAATGAAACATGGTCGCCGAGAGTCAAAGGAACGTCCCGATGAGCGAAACTATGCCTCCATATTAAGTCATCTCGCCATCTCGCATGAACCGCATATAAAAAACACGACGGAAAAGATCGACTCAAAAATCAAAGTTCCCCCATTGGGCATATCCGGACTCGAACCGGACTTCTCTCGCAAGCATGACCAACGCGTCAGACGAAGATATGGGGGAGTGTGATCAACCGTCTACACCATATGCCAGTTGTCGCAAAAGTCGTCCAAAACATACCAGGCCGTATAAGTGCGTATAAGGATGTATTAGGCTCTTTGTGACGCAGAACGTTATACGGTAGCAAAGAGGGCAATATGGCCCAATAAGGTCCATAACCTTATGGGACCTTGTATGACCTAACCGTACAGTATAGAGCCTAAAAAGCCCTTTCCAGGCGTTGTGTTCTGATCTGATCGCTCTCTCGACTTCAGCTTGGCCGCAAAACAATGTATTTGGCATTTACATAGGTAGGGACAGTAAAAATACAATAGCAGACATCACAGGAGAGATATCTCGCAAAACAAGCGGCACCTTCGCACCTTCCGGATGACGAGATCATTCTGTACTACTCGACGGAGAGATCAAAGTCTGGTAACAGACTGATACTGTAGTACTCGAAACACAAAACAACGACTATACTCACCAGTGTATGTGAACACAAGAAGACAGGCTGTGATTTGGAACATGTTCTCCTATACATGCACTGTAAGCACAGAAGATATGATCAGATTAGTAGCCTGGCGTTAAGCAAGAGAAACGACGTACGTTTGAGAAGATCGGTAAAGCACGGTACGATGCAGCGCGAGTACATCATACGAAAGTCGTCCTTTGACCGACCGGTATGTCAGGTCAAGTTGAATAAGAGCAGTCCTAGAGAAGATGGGTGAGATAGACTGGAAGATTTGGAGATTGGGGGACGGGCGCAGCGGTGATGATCCAGTCCTCTTCGGTTGTGCGATGTATCTACTCCTGTATACCCCCAGCTTCTGCATGCTTTAATGTTCCACAATATTTCATACCTTCACGATGTCGCTGGGCTATATAGCATGCAGCGTATTTAACAAGGAGGGAGATGCACATGGTGGTCAAAGACAAAGACGCACGTCTGTGGGCGTGGGTGATGACATCATTGAAGGCGTGTGAAGCTCCTCCCTCATTGATCATTCTGTGGCCCACACCGGCGGTAAGCCACACGTTGGCCCACGTCATGAACGACGACGAGCAGGTCGTTCTGACTCGCCCATGAGTCTGTTCGTCTCTCCATCGTACAGACTGAGGCAGGCTAAATGAATACCACTTGTGATTTTTGACTTCTTGTGCTGGAACGACTGGTCCTTAGAGCGTTGATTTGCGGGTGGCGTGAATCGATAATCATGGTGCATAAAATATAGGGTACGCGCTATCCTGTGCTCTTGACGTTCTGATCCTTACTTGTGCTATTTTTTTATGGTTGCAGTGACTTGAATGGACGATTATCGGTGTCAAGGAGATTGTCAAGATTATTTCGGGCAAGATTTCCCG